GAAGTGGTGTACTCCATCGAGTCAGGTACTTGGGGAGCACTCCAGAGGTTCATAACTTTGCACTTGTTAAACGTCTGTTTCTTCTTTTCTAAAATTGGTCTGGAGATTAAAACATTTCTGTGTATCACTGCAAAAATTACTTACATGGAGCTTACATGTTAGGAGAAAGAGAAAACAATTTAAGTTCTAGCTCTTTAGGAAGTAAGGATAGTGTCCTAACAAGTTTGGGTCAAGTGCTTGGAGACTCACGATATTAGCTTAATTCAAAGCTGAGAGGTCCTACCACAAAGAAAACTTGATTTGGCCAATTCAGTATTTCTAAACTTATATTTTTTAAAAATATATTTTTATTGATTTTAAAGAGGAAGGGAGAGGGAGAGATAAAAACATCAGTGATGAAAGACAATAAACATGAATGATGAGAGAGAATCATTGATTGGTGGCTGCCTCCTGCACTCCTCCTCCTGGCGATGGAGCCCACAACCCAGACGTGTGCCCTGACCAGGAATCTGACTGCGACCTCCTGGTTCATAGGTTGACGCTCAACCACTGAGCCACACTGGTTGGGCTCTAAACTTTTTTTCACCACACACTCATTTTCCTTCTTAAACTAGGAAACGTCCTTAGGAAAATGCTGGCCTATTAATGCAGTGCTTTACTTGTATACTTGTAGAGAGTGTTTTCTCCTAGGCAGAGCAGGGATTTCGTGGTGGACCGCTGACTCTTCCAATTATGACCCACTCAGATCTCTCAGAGAGGGGGTCACGCCCCTGCTCCTTCCGGGTTTACTTTTGCTGCCACTGTCACCCGCATGCAGCTCGCACAGTTGCGTGTCACTCATGGCTCGTTGCGGTCCATCCCTGGGGGTGGGATTTGGACTCAGAGATGTTGGAAAGCTGAAGGGGCTGGAGGAGCTGGGCAAGGGGCAGCGAGGGCAGGGGGTCAGCTGGAAGTGTGGGCAGTTCCAGGGAGGATAAGGCAGGAGATCTGAGTCTTAATGGGGGTTACAAGGAGGAGTGTCACAGAGCAGCACTGTGGCCAAGCAGTGTTTTTGTTCTCTGTTGAATGCTGCTATTCAGCCACCCATGCATTCAGCCCAGGGTCTCATGCAGCTCATTTCATGTGCAGGTGCCATGCTGGGCACATTCATATTCGAACCTGATAGGTGTGGGGGTCGCCATTGGTCCACACAGGCATGTTCTTGCTTGAGACGGGTCAGTCGGCTTTAGAGCACCTGATGTGTGCAGTCAGAAATGGCCTTGCTTTGCAGCTTTTCCTGCTCATGCCAAATGATAGGAGTAAGTGATTCAATATGAGAAGGCACTTTTCAGTTCTCTATCTTCGTGTCATTGTTAGTACAAAGTCTCTCTCCTTGTTCTGCCTTTATAATGAATTTAAAGTATTGAGATCATCCACTTAACTTGCCTTTTTTTGTAAGCCCATACTGCTACATTTTTAGAAATTGCATCTATCGTAGGCATTAGAATTCAAAGAGGTTTCAATTAGCTATTAAATCATATCACCAAAAGCCGAGCAAATGGATAGTAATTAAAAAAAACAAACCCCGCCAAAACCGGTTTGGCTCAGTGGATAGAGCGTCGGCCTGCGGACTGAAAGGTCCCAGGTTCGATTCCGGTCAAGGGCATGTACCTGGGTTGCGGGCACATCCCCAGTAGGGGATGTGCAGGAGGCAGCTGATCGATGTCTCTCTCTCATCGATGTTTCTAACTTTCTATCTCTCTCCCTTCCTCTCTGTAAAGCATCAATAAAATATATTTAAAAACAAACAAACAAACAAAACAAACCCTTTGTTGATGTAAGTGTGTGGTCAAACTATTTTTATTTCTTAATATATTTGAAGTTTCATTTATTTCACTGAAAGCGACCAAATTTAGTCCATTACTCACAAGGAAGACCTCGTCTGCTGCCAACGGTTGCAGCAGTAAGATGTGTTTTCATGTAGTTAGTGCCTTGCCCAACGATGGAGGTTTTCCCACTGGTTCAGAAATGTCGCCGTTAAAAAAGCAGCGCATTCCATGTGTGCATGCCCGAGCACTTCAATGAAATAATTTTCCCGCAGACAAACTGGCTGGGTTTGTGTAGGAGAAAATGTTAAACTTTCCCTTAGCTTTCACATAATTTTCAACAACTGGGTGGTTAAAATATGATTGTTGGTGCCCGACTGAAGGCATACACATTCCTTGAATGCTTGTAGGGCTGATGGAATTAGTAACTCGGTATTCCAAGAATGGAACTGTATCTCCACTCAGCGAATACATAATACCAAGGGCCTATTCCAGCTCAGACCTTGGACTTTTACAAAGGTATTGTTTTCGATTTGGTATTATAAAAATAGTGCTGAACAAGTACTTTATAGGAAATGACTCCCCTTAAATGCTGTGGAATTGTGTGTGTGTGTGAATCTGTTCGAACAGCAGGGACTATAAAATGGTCCTGTGGCCGCTCACTTACCATTTATTCATAATCACCTGTTTCTAATGTCTGTCAGATTACATTTAATAAAGTTCAAAAGACTAGTTATGAATTCAGGCCATCACACGGCATGTTTAATTAGCAGCGATTTATTGAGCAAAAGGTTGGGGCTGATGAGGGGTCTTCAGGGGAAAAGGAATTAATTAAAGGGTATGTTCAGCAGCAGTTGAGTTATGTGCTTGGAGACACATGCTCAGCACCATACTCTGGGCAGCTTGGTGTTCTCTTTATTTTTTGAAAGTAGATCATTGTAACTTCAAGACCATGGGAACGCCTGGAAGTAGGAGCCTCTCAGTAAATATGCTTATTGACCAGAATTGATTTTCTTCCCCAAACTTAGGCTCACTATCATTGCACTTGAAGTTTAGAGAGGTTGCCGCGCTGGCTGGCGGTTGGCATCCACAGCGTGTCCCTGTGGGGAGACACGGGTTCCTGTGCGCAGCTCTCTGATGCCCTGTGGGGTGTGCGTGTGTAATACAGTCGTAGCCAATGAGCACACGCGTGCAAGTGTGCCCAGATAATCGCCTGGCTCCAATAGCGAGGACAGTTTAAGGCTCTTTAGAAATCACCGTGTCTCCCGCTAAGGACACTGACTAAGCCCCCAGCCGAGTACAGACTTCCGCCACTGCCCTGTGAGTTCGTTCACAAACAGCATACGTGTATTGCAGTATTTGGTGAGCGTGTCTATTTCTAGATCAGACGTAATGTCCGACCCACTCAGCAACCCTCGATGTTCTTCCAATAAACACCACGTTGCTCTCCCATCTGCAAATCTTGTGCTTTCTGCCGTGGTCTCTGTGGGATCCATATATTAATTGACCAGAGCCGCCTTTAGCAAAGCCAGGCAACTCCAGGTGATAATGTGATGCCTTGTGTATGTGAAGCATTAAGATTTCACTGTCCACCCAGCCGGTGTGGTTCAGTGGCTGAGTGTTGACCTATGAACCAGGTGCTCACGGTTCGATTCCTGGTCAGGGCATGTGCCCGGTTGCGGCTCCATCCCCAGTGAGGGGCGTGCAGGAGGCAGCCACGGATCAATGATTATCTCTCATCATTGATGTTTCTAGCTCTCTCTTCCTCTCCCTTCCTCTCTGAAATCAATAAAAGTACATTATTAAAAAAGATTTCACTATCCAAGATAAGAGAGAAATGCACAAAGATGAATGAGTGTAAGATATAGTAGGTCAGCTTCTTTTTTAGGTCAGATAGATGGAAGTCCAAGGGGTGGGGATGAAGGTTTTGCAGTCTCCTCCATGATCCAGACAGCCCGTCACAGTTTTGGAAGGTGGGGTGATGTGCAGGCAGGATGAGAGAGGACCGTGATGACTGAGTAAGAGAGAGAATCTGGGATCGTTGACTCATAGACACAGACAGGCCGGGGACCGGGTCTGCAAGGCCTGGCAGAGACAGCGCGACCCCGTCCACGGGCCAGGGTTTAGCTCAGAGCTCAGGAGCCTGGAGAAGCCTGGGCCTCTGCCCTGGGTGCAGAGCCAGGCGGGCTTAATGAAAACCAGACTCGGTCGGGCCTCAGAAAACATGATCATGGATTTTTTGGAAAATGTATTAAAGGAAGGAAATGAAGGCCGGAGAGGAAGCGTTTCCTAGTAATGAGGTGGAGAAAGAAGTGCTTGGTTAATCCCCTGGTTTGCAGATCACACTAAGTAATGCTGTTCTGTGAAGGGCCGCACTCAATTGCAAACCTGGAGGAAAGCAACTGGAGGAAGCAGTTAAGTGGCAAGTCAGCCTTGTTTTGGGGGTGAGTGTAATAGTTCATTTGGGAGAAACACACTCAGTTCTATGTCTAGGATAATGGAGCTGGACTCTTGTTTATAAAACAGAGTAGGGATGAAGGGTTCATGGATGGGTCAAACTCTCACACTGCCTTGATCTGTTCAAAAAGATAGGTAACTGCTAAGCTATAGTCAACTGCTGGTTTTTGTCAGAAAGATTTCAGTCGGTGCTATACAACAGGACTCGGCAGAATTGCCTTTGCGGCTGAATACATGTTTACAGTGCAGGTGGAAAAGGTGCAGGAAAAGCCAGTAAAACAACCGGTGCTAGAGGAGAATTTCTCAGCCTCAACATTGGTCTGGGCACACGCCCTGGTTGTGGACTCAATCCCCAGCAGGGGGTGAGCAGGATGACTTTTTGAACAACAGACTTTTGTTGTGGGGGCTGTCCTGTGTACTGCGGGAAGTTTAGCAGCATCCCTGGTCTCTCCCCCAAGTAGTGCCAACCCAAAATGTCTCCAGAAACCCCAGCTGGTGTGGCTCAGTGGTTGAGTGTTGACCCATAAACCAGGAGATCACAGTTCGATTCCTGGTCTGGGCACACGCCCTGGTTGTGGACTCAATCCCCAGCAGGGGGTGAGCAGGAGGCAGCCGATGAATGATTCTCATCATGGATATTTCTGTCTCTCTCTCCCTCTCTGAAATCAATAAAAATATATTTTAAAAAAATGTCTCCAGGCATTGTTGAACATCCCCTTCTGGGTAGGATCACCCCCACTTGAGATCCACTGACTTAGGGGATACATTGACCTGAACATGATTCAGAAGAGACTATTACCAAAATCCTCTGAAGTGTAGGGCAAGTTATACACAGCTTATTTATCAGTGCCCTGAATATTTAAAATAAGGGACAGTTCTCTTGAAATTTGTTAAATTCTCTTAATGAATATGAAATTTGTTAAATTCTTATAATGAATGAGAATCTGGAGCATTTTCAAGTGATAAATGCTGAAATATAAATATGTTCTAAAGGGTTTTTGGGGGAACACTTGGAAAATTACGAACTTAACTGCTTTATGAAGGGTAGCCATACCCTTTCATAAGCGCATTCTTGGTTCAAGCAAAAGAGAGTGTGTTTGGTGTTAGATCCAGAGTGATATTTCTTCTATTTCTTACTTTTCATAATTTATGGACAGAACTCTGACTAGTCTGCCATATTTTAGTTGGACAGAAATGAAACAAGTTGAAAATTTGAGACAAGTTCCATTCAAATGTTGATAACCCCTGAATTTCTGTTTAATCTCAGAATATAATTTTTAAAGCTATCTCCCTTGGCTTCTGTATTTCCAAATAGTATTTGATCCCTGTAGTTTTCTGTAACGTGCTTCTTTTTTTTTCCCCCCCCTCCCAGGAAATATTGGAAATTCTTTTACAATCGATCCCATCTTGGGCTCTATCAAAACTGCCAAAGAATTGGATCGAAGTAACCAAGTGGAATATGATCTAATGGTTAAAGCTACAGACAAAGGCAGCCCACCCCTGAGTGAAATCACTTCCGTGCACATCTTTGTCACAATTGCTGACAATGCCGCTCCGAGGTTTACGTCTAAAGAATATTCTGTTGAAATTAGTGAAACCATCAGCATTGGGAGTTTTGTCGGAATGGTTACGGCCCACAGTCAGTCATCGGTGGTCTATGAAATAAGAGATGGAAACATAGCTGATGCATTCACCATCAATCCGCATTCTGGAAGTATCATCACTCAGAAGGCCCTGGACTTTGAAACTTTGCCCATTTATACACTGACAGTCCAAGGAACCAACATGGCCGGCTTGTCCACTAACACGACGGTCCTAGTGCATCTGCAGGATGAAAATGACAACTGGCCTGTGTTTATGCAAGCAGAATACACAGGACTCGTCAGTGAGTCGGCTTCCCTGAACAGCGTGGTCCTCACAGACAAGAACGTCCCATTAGTGATTCGAGCCACCGATGCCGACAAGGAATCGAATGCTTTGCTTGTGTACCACATCGTTGAGCCATCGATACACAAATATTTTGCCATTGATTCTAGCACGGGGGCTATTCATACAGTACTGAGTTTGGACTATGAAGAGACAAGCACTTTTCGCTTTACCGTGCAAGTGCATGACATGGGAACACCACGCTTGTTTGCCGAATACGCAGCTAACGTGACTATCCATGTCATTGACATTAATGACTGCCCTCCTGTGTTCTCCAAGTCCTTGTATGAAGCCTCTCTCTTGTTGCCCACATACAAAGGGGTCAAAGTCATCACGGTAAATGCCACCGATGCCGATTCTCACGCCTTCTCCCAGGTGATGTACTCCATCACTGAGGGCAACATCGGAGAGAAGTTTCTCATGGACTACAAGACGGGCTCGATCACGGTGCAAAACACAACTCAGTTAAGAAGCCGCTACGAGTTAACCGTCCGCGCTTCTGACGGCAGATTCGCAAGCTTCTCCTCGGTGAAAATCCACGTGAAGGAGAGCAAAGAAAGTCAACTGAAGTTCACCCAGGATTTCTACTCGGCGACCGTGAAGGAGAATTCCACCGAAGCCAGGACGTTGGCTGTCATTACTGCGATTGGCAATCCGATCAACGAGCCCTTGTTCTATCACATCCTCAACCCCGATCGCAGGTTTAAAATGAGCCGCACCTCGGGAGTCCTGTCCACCACTGGCGTACCCTTCGATCGGGAGCAGCAGGAGGCCTTCGACGTGGTCGTGGAGGTGACGCAGGAACACAAGCCTGCCGCGGTGGCCCACGTGGTTGTGAAGGTCACCGTGGAAGACCAAAATGACAACGCCCCGGTGTTTGTCAACCTCCCTTACTACGCCGTCGTCAGGGTGGACGCCGCGGTAGGCCACACCATCCGCCACGTGACCGCCGTGGACAGAGACAGCGGCAGGAATGGGGACGTGCACTACTACCTGAAGGAACATCACGAGCACTTTCAGATCGGGCTGTCGGGTGACATCTCACTGAAGAAGCCATTCGAACCCGACACCTTAAACAAACAGTACCTCGTCACCGTGGTGGCAAAAGATGGGGGAAACCCTGCCTTTTCGGCGGAAGTGATCGTCCCCATCACGGTGATGAACAAAGCCATGCCCGTGTTCGAAAAGCCTTTCTACAGCGCCGAGATCCCGGAGAACATCCAGGTGCACAGCCCCGTCGTCCACGTGCAAGCCAACAGTCCCGAGGGCTTGAAGGTGCTCTACAGCATCACCGACGGCGATCCCTTTAGCCAGTTCACCATTAACTTCAACACCGGCGTCATCCACGTCATCGCCCCCCTGGACTTTGAGGCCCACCCGGCCTACAAACTGAGCGTCCGAGCCACCGACTCCTTGACGGGGGCGCACGCCGAGGTGTTTGTGGACATCGTGGTGGAAGACATCAATGACAACGCCCCCGTGTTTGCCCAGCAGGCCTACGCCGCCACGCTGTCGGAGGCGTCTGTCATTGGGACCTCGGTGGTGCGTGTTCGAGCCACAGATGCGGATTCGGAACCCAACAGGGGAATCTCTTACCACATGTCCGGGAATCACAGCAAGAGTCACGATCATTTTCACATCGACAGCAGCACGGGTGTCATTTCCCTGGTCCGGGCGCTGGATTACGAGCAGGTCCGGCAGCACAGGATTGCTGTGAGGGCCGTGGATGGCGGCATGCCCCCGCTGAGCAGCGAGGTGGTGGTCACGGTGGATGTCACGGACCTCAACGACAACCCGCCCCTGTTTGACCCACACGTTTACGAGGCCAAAATCAGTGAGCACGCCACGCACGGGCATTTTGTGACCTGCGTCAAAGCCTACGATGCCGACAGCTCAGACGCAGACACGCTGGAATACTCCATTCTGTCCGGCAATGACCAGAAGAGTTTTGTCATGGACGGTGAAACGGGGATTATCACGCTCTCCAACCTCCGCCAGGTCACCTTGAAGCCGTTTTACAGTCTTAACATTTCCGTCTCGGATGGCGTTTTCCGAAGTTCGGCGCAGGTTCACGTAACTGTCATTGGGGGCAACTTGCACAGCCCCGTGTTTCTGCAGAACGAGTACGAAGTGGAGCTCGCGGAGAATGCTCCCGTGCACACCCTGGTGACGGCGGTGAAAGCGACGGACGGGGATGCTGGTGTCTACGGCCACATCACTTACCACATTGTGAATGACTTTGCCAGAGACAGGTTTTACACCAATGAGAGAGGGCAGGTATTCACTTTGGAAAAACTCGACCGAGAAATCCCAGCGGAGAAAGTGATCCCAGTCCGCTTAATGGCGAAGGACGCGGGAGGAAAGGTTGCGTTCTGCACCATTAACGTCATCCTCACCGATGACAATGACAATGCACCCCAGTTCCGAGCCACCAGGTACGAGGTAAACATCGGGTCCGACGCTCCCAAGGGCACATCCGTCATTAAAGTTCTTGCAAGTGACGCCGACGAGGGATCCAACGCCGACGTCACCTACGCCCTGGAAGCCGATTCTGACAGTGTTCAGGAGAACTTGGAGATCCACAGGCTGTCTGGCGTCATCACGACAAAGGAAAGCTTAATCGGCTTAGAGGACGAGGTCTTCACTTTCTTCGTGCGAGCTGTGGACGGCGGGTCTCCGCCCAGGGAGTCTGTTGTTCCCGTCTACGTGAAGGTACTCCCCCCAGAAATGCGGCTCCCCAAGTTCTCAGAGCCGTTCTACACCTACACCGTTTCAGAAGACATGCCTATCGGGACCGAAATCGATCTCATCCGAGCGGAACACAGTGGGACGGTCCTGTACAGCCTCGTCAAGGGGAATACTCCCGAGAGTAACAGGGACGAGTTCTTTGTGATTGACAGGCAGAGTGGGAGGCTGAAACTGGAGAAGAGCCTTGATCACGAGACGACCAAGTGGTACCAGTTCTCCATCCTCGCCAGGTGCGCTCACGGGGACCACGAGCTGGTGGCTTCTGTGGACGTCAGCATCCAAGTGAAGGATGCCAATGACAACAGCCCTGTCTTGGAGTCTAACCCGTATGAGGCCTTCATTGTGGAAAACCAGCCAGGGGGCAGTCGAGTCATCCAGGTCAGGGCCTCGGATCTGGACTCGGGAGCCAACGGCCAAGTTATGTATAGTCTAGATCAGTCCCAGAGCGTAGAGGTCATCGAGTCTTTCGCCATTAACATGGAGACAGGCTGGATTACAACCCTCAAGGAGCTCGACCATGAGAAGAGAGACAGTTACCAGATTAAAGTGGTCGCGTCGGACCACGGGGAGAAGGTCCAGCTGTCCTCCACGGCCGTGGTGGACGTCACCGTCACCGACGTCAACGACAGCCCCCCACGGTTCACGGCGGAGATTTATAAAGGGACCGTGAGTGAAGATGACCCACCGGGCGGTGTCATTGCCATTTTAAGCACCACAGATGCCGATTCTGAAGAAATTAACAGACAAGTCGCCTATTACATAACAGGTAAAACATTTCAACTCAGTGGCTTAATTTAAAATTAAATACATTAGAAACATAAATGCAGAGATATTTATTTTATGGGAATTAGAAGGTGAAGGGATGATTTTAGTTAAGTAAAACTAAAATAAGGAGAAATAGCACCGTTTAGCTATATTTCAAGTTCTTTGCCTGTGCAAAGGAAATAGTTGCTTCATTATACCTTTTTTATTTGTATGACTCATTTATTCAACTTTATCTTAGTGTATAATAAATATATAGTAATTAAAAAGAAAAGCTATAGTTTCAATGTAGGCTAATGTATTATTTAGTAGTCTTTATATTTTATTTGGCTGAATGCTGTATTGAAATACAAATTTAAATGTAAAAATTTTTACATTTTTTCAAATGTAATTTTAAAAAAAACACCTTAATTATTTTAAACCATAACATTATATATCTATTCTATAATTTATTTTTTCTATCATGTATTTCTTTATTTTAACAAGTTTGACCGTCATCTTTCTCCATTGATTTAATAGGAGGGGATCCTTTGGGGCAGTTTGCTGTTGAAAATATACAGAATGAATGGAAGGTGTATGTGAAGAAACCTCTAGACAGAGAGAAAAGGGACAATTATCTTCTGACAATCACAGCAACTGATGGCACCTTCTCATCAAAGGCTATTGTTGAAGTGAAAGTCCTTGATGCCAACGACAACAGTCCAGTTTGTGAAAAGGTAGGCTGCTCTTTAAGTTTCTAGATTACGAATCCAGGTTTCTCTCCTAAACCACCCAGCAGGACTGTGGTGGGCAGTAGGACGGTGGTGGGATGCCGTGGTGTCATTCAGTGTGTTTCATATCATAACCTCTTCCTGTTTAAGCAGAGGCGAGTGTGCAATGGGGCAAGAGATGGGCTAGCCTCGGAACTGGTTCAGGGCGTGCTCCAGTAGTTTGAAAATTATTCAGAATGCTGTCAATTATGAGCCAGATTGCAGTTGTGTTTAACTCTAAAAATGCCCTGTAAAGTTTTCAGGAAGCGATTCCCTTCATTTGGGGAAGAGTTTACTTTGGAGGAAGTATCTGGCCAGCAGTTCTTCAAACAGAGCTCGCTTTTGCTCTTACAGTTTCGGGGACACTTGCTCTTTAACGCACTAGAGAAACTACAGGGTTCACAGTGCGGCTCCTGCAGCTATGGAGCCGCTGTTTCATGTGAGATCGAATAACCCAGAGCAGAGCTGTCCGCGGAGGTGCAGGGTGGGGACTTGGGCAGGAGTGATCGCTGTCTTATGTTGTGGTTTATGGCATGGATTTCTAAACAGTTGGAACAGGAAACACCCCTTCGTTTGAGAGTCAGTTGGATATGAAGAGAGGTTAGAACTGGTGATGGGAGAGCCCTGGCCTGAGCTTCACTCACCCACAGGGTCTGGGGGAATCTTTGTTTTCTCCCAAGACACGAAGACCGAAGATCGCTTCTTTCTGAACTGCCTGTATTTGGATTTGTGTTAAGAACGATTGCCAGCAATAGATTTCTGTATTGGAAATTAGTAGATACGGTATAACAGGCATCTGGTCTCTCTAATCTTTAGGGCAATGTAGAGCACTGTTTATATTGTCTCATAGGAATTTAAACTGAATAGGAACCCAAGTCCAAGTCATAAAGCACTGCATTCAGAACTCGTAGGTTAAATGTCAGGGCAGATTCAGCAACATCGGGTTGTTCACTGTTCCATGGCTCCTCCTTGTTTCATAAGGAAAATCGTTTGAAAGCTCCTTGGATTTTAACGTTATTCATTTCCCAAAGTGAAATGATTGATTTTCTGTTATTTGCTCAGCAGCCATGCTGTCAGTGTTTCATGTTGATAGTATTGTTTCCAATCTCTGTAGACTTTGTATTCAGACACGATTCCAGAAGATGCCTTCCCCGGGAAGTTGATCATGCAGGTCGCCGCCACGGACGCAGATATCCGGTCCAACGCCGAAATCACTTACACCTTATTTGGCCCAGGAGCAGAAAAATTCAACCTAAATCCAGACACAGGTAATGATGGAGTTTGGGCCAAAATTAATTGTACTCCAACAACAAAATCGTCTATGTGGGTAGTTTTAGACCACTCGCAGAATTTGACGTTCCATTTTGTTCATGTAAAATGAACTTGGTTGCTACAAAATTGCCATCTTTTAGAAACCGAAACAGCAACTTAATGTGTAAAATGTGGGATGAGATAAAAAGTCAACAGCCAAGGATTTAAAGTCGTTTTTATCACCTTTAAAAATAAAAGAAAACCTCACGATGTTGAAGTATATTTTAAGCTTTCACTGTCTCCATTTTATATATAGCTTGCTTTCATGACTACGTGACCATAAAGTCATAATTTAGCATATTCATTAAAATAACTCACGATGTGTGATTCATCTTTAAGTTGTGCTATAGTTGTATTTCTCTTATAATTCGTATTTTATTAAAATTGTGTTCTATTAATCTGTCCCCCACCAAAGAACTAATTATGAACATAGGAATCTAATATTTTGAGTCATCTAGAAACATTAAATTTGGCAAATCAGGTAGCTGTTTTGTTTGTGACATACATACTGCAAGAGGCCCCAGCCTTGCTATTCTTGGGACTTAAAGAGCTGGCACCTAGCAGGTTGGAAACCTGGAACTCCCTGTACTCACACAGCCTCTGACCCTGTCATGGAAAAAACTGTTGTCCAGCGGAAGGCTGTTGTTCAGACTTGGCAAGTGTAAGAGAAAAGGGGAAGACGTACCATTTGGTATCGTGGTTCACGTCGTAAATTTCAAGGGAGGCCATTTATTTTTGTTTGTTTCTAGGTGAACTGAAAACACTAGCCCCCCTCGATCGCGAGGAGCAAGCGGTTTACAACCTTCTCGTCAAGGCCACCGACGGAGGGGGGAGGTTCTGTCAAGCGCACGTGGTGCTCACGTTAGAAGACGTGAATGACAATGCCCCTGAGTTCTCCGCCGATCCACACACCATCACTGTGTTCGAGAACACGGAGCCTGGGACGCTGCTGACCAGAGTGCAGGCCACAGACGCGGATGCAGGTACCCCCAGACGTGCTCCCAGATCCTAGGAGCCTCTCTTTCCAAACACATCCCAGATTCGGGCCGCTGAATTATTGTACCTGCTGTATGTTGAGGAACTCCTCATGGTTGTGTTATTTCATTCCTTGGCCTTAAACATGGGATGAAATATTTAGAATAATGAGTTCACTTTTTAAAAAAAATGTATTTTATTGATTTTTTACAGAGAGGAAGGGAGAGGGATAGAGAGTTAGAAACATCGATGAGAGAGAAACATCGACCAGCTGCCTCCTGCACACTCCCTCTTGGGGATGTGCCCGCAACCAAGGTACATGCCCTTGACCAGAATCGAACCTGGGCCCCTGGAGTCCACAGGCCGACGCTCTATCCACTGAGCCAAACCGGTTAGGGCATGAGTTCACTTTTTTTTTTTTTTTTTTCGAGTTTCTGTCTTTATTAAGTCTACCCCCAGCCAGGGGAAGGGGGACAGACCATGGTAACTGTGACCCCACCTTGCCCCCCCAGGACATGGGGAATCTCTTCTGCCTGTGCCCTCAATGAGTTCACTTTTAATGAGTATTTGCAGTCTCAGAATTGTGCCCAGTGAACATGCTGTTAGGTGTCTGTGGTGTCCCTACAATTCTGTTAGTGACTGTGTTGACTGAGCTTCATTTCTCATTGAGTGAGGGAAGTGTTGTTTTGTGACTAAACCATTAGTGACATAAAGTTATTTTAGTATCATAGGAACAAATGCAATATTTTACAGTTTTACAAACCTTCCAAATTTTCGTGGAGAAATAAAAGTCTAGGATGTCTAGCATTTTGATAGCAGAGAATAAAAATAACTTCTTCAGTCATATTAATACTGAGTAAGTAGAAGAATAGCAGAAATGCTACTTTTCAAGTCAATCTTTGTCACTGAAGGTAAATAATAAATAGACTTTAAAAGAGCTGCTGGGGGCCCTGGCCGGTGTTCAGTGGCTTGGGAGTGTCGTCCTGTATACCAAAAAGGTTGCGGTTTGGTCCCCAGTCAAGGCACATATGGGAGGCAGTTGATCAATGTTTTTTTTCTCCCTCTCTTCTCCTCTCTCTCTCCCCCCCCCTTCCCTCCCTCCCTTTCCTCTCTCTAAAAAAAATAAACAAATAAACATATCCTCCTGTAAGGATTAAAAAAAAAAAAGATCTGAGTATTATAGCATAAGTTTATATAAAAAAGTCTTAGAAAGCTGGATAACTATGAAATTATATTTACTTTAACTCAGTAAATTGTTAATCTAGAAGTTTACTTTTTTAAGGTCATAATCACAATGACCTTTAAAAGAATGTGTTTTAGCCTTTTTCCCTTTCAATATGTATGTTACGTGTATTTTAAAAAATATAATTTGTTTAAATTCTTTGAAATTGAGCCTTCTGGCGTGATGTCCTCTATTTACAGGATTGAATCGGAAGATAGCCTACTCTCTGATTAACTCTGCGGATGGGCAGTTCTCCATCAATGAACTGTCTGGGATCATCCAGCTGGAGAAACCTCTGGATCGAGAGCTGCAGGCCGTGTACACCCTCACCGTGAAAGCCGTAGACCAGGGCGTGCCACGGAGGTTGACAGCGACGGGCACCGTGGTTGTGTCCGTCTTGGATATAAATGATAATCCTCCCGTGTTCGAATACCGCGAATACGGTGCCTCGGTGTCTGAGGACGTTCTGGTTGGAACAGAAATCCTTCAAGTGTACGCAGCCAGTCGGGATATCGAGGCAAACGCAGACATCACCTACTCCATCATCGGTGGAAATGAACACGGGAAATTCAGCATCGATTCTAAAACAGGTGACTCACCACATAAATGAGATGACACCCTTTATTCTGCCGTAAAGGGTAGATTGCCCGGCACTCAGCCTGATGTAGAGGGACTGGTCATAAAGTGTTAGTAGATACTCTAAAAAGATGAAACTCACGTTTCCTTTGTATTGTTATTTTAAGTGGGGTTTAAAGTGGTTTCGAAGACTTCAAAATATGGTTCCACATAATAAAGGTACATTTCTGATGTATCCATTATAACTACAAGCAAATTAATTTTAAATAGAAAATTAAAGTATCTCACTTGAGGGATTTAGTAAAGATACAGATATAAGATGTGATAAATTAGTGAAGATAAAGACTAGAGGATAGAAAAGGACCTTGCATAATGGCTCCTTTTTATCCCCGTATGGAGCTCATGGGAAGTAGCTTCCCACGTGAAATGGCAGTCCCCACCTCTTCGATCTTAGCATCCATGGGGGCATCTGATGATTCAGAAAGATGACTTTTTTATTATGCCAGGTACGCATAACAGGTGGAGTACTTTCAGTCACACTAATGGGATGACTGCCAACAAGGTCAAAAGTCATCGGAGTTTAGGCTCTTGCTGCTTAAATACTTCCCTAGTCGTGGTACCTATGGTCTACATAGCTTGAAGTGTTAGCACATTGTAAAAAGTTGCTCCATTCAAATCGTATTTAATTGTCCGTAACTATTTCCTGGGGGAAGTAAGTGTGTGAGGATGCTATTTCAAAATTTATTTTTAACCCATATCTTAAAACTTATTTTTAGGGCTCTGTAAGTAGTATGGGCAGTACAGCGGTGAAAAGGGAAGGTGTTAAACCATTGTTAGATCAAAGGGATTTTTAAAATGATGAGATGTAGTTATTCTAGTGATTTTTTTAAAAAAAGGATGTGTATTTTAATAAAAGCAAAAGTATGAGAAGGAAAAGAAAACAAAGCCAAAAGAAGGATTTTTATGTTTTTATTTTATTAAATTACAGTGAAGTCTGTGATTGAGAAGAGATAAGGCAAATAGCCATTTTTATAGGTGGGGTATTGATGGTATTGATTGGGAGAATAACTTAACACAAAGAATCTAAGGAAAATAAGAGACATAAATAAGGATCAGGGATGGGCAGATTTATAATTCTAATCAGTGAGTTTAGAAATTAGAAAACATCCATAAAAGGGAAGTAAACTTTTGAAGTGAAAGTTCCATTTATTTACGAGTGCCTGTTTCAGCCCTGAGTAAGCGGTAGCATTTTAAAGCGCGGGAGTAATTTTGATTTTCCGTACAGGGGCCATATTTATCATTGAGAATCTGGATTACGAAAGCTCTCACGAATATTACCTGACTGTGGAAGCCACTGATGGAGGAACCCCTTCCCTGAGTGACGTGGCCACTGTGAACGTGAATGTGACAGACATCAACGACAACACCCCGGTGTTCAGCCAGGACACCTACACAGCCGTCGTCAGCGAGGACGCTATTCTGGAGCAGCCTGTCCTTACAGTGTGTATTTTTTTTCTAAAATACATTTTTATTGATTTCAGAGAGGAAGGGAGAGGGACAGAGAGATAGAATCATCAATGATGAGAGATAATCATTGATTGGCTGCCTCCTGCACACCCCCTGCTGGGAACTGAGCCCACAACCTGGGCATGTGCCCTGACCAGGAATCAAACTGTGACCTCCTGGTTCATAGGTTGACACTCAACCACTGAGCAACTCTGGCTGGGCTGAAGCGTATTTTTTATAAGCACACCTCAATCTCATCTCCTTCTCCTGGATCACTGCAAGAGTTTTTTCTGTTTGTTTGTTTTAGTAAGATTGATCCAGCTTTTCTGTAGTGGCCTTACTTGAATATATTTTGAAGATATGGAAATGTATTTTGTTAAGCCAATTATTGACTCTATTATTAAAGTAACTAGAGTCCTGATGCACTAAATTCATGCGGGGTGGGGGGTGAGGAGGGTCCCCTCCCTCTCGCATTCCAGGACCCCTCACTCCGAACCACCTGCCTGCTCACTCATTACTGCTTGGCTCGCCGCTCCTTAGTGATTCCACGGAGGTGGGAGAGGCTCCTGCCACTGCTGCTGTGCTCGACAGCTGTGAGCCCGGCTTCTGGCTGAGCAGCTCTCCATGTGGGAGCACAGTGACCACCTGGGAGCAGCTCCTGTGTTGAGTGTCTGCCCCTGAGTGGTCAGTGTGCATCATAGCAACTGGTCATTCTGCCATAACGGTCACTGGGCTTTTATTCTATAGATTGCCTTATAACAGCTAGGTGTTGATACCAGAAATTTGCTGCAAGAATTCAGTCCCTTCCTTCGCTGTCTCCTAAGCGAGAGTGTCCTATTTTCTAGGTGATGGCTGATGATGCAGATGGGCCTTTAAACAGCCACATCCACTATTCCATAATAGACGGCAATCAAGGAAATCCATTTACCATCGACCCCACCCGCGGAGAAGTGAAAGTGACCAAACTCCTAGACCGGGAAACAGTAAGCAAAAACATTTGGCTCCCGTTGTTCACTGATGACAAAATCAGTACCTAGAGGTGCCTCCTAGTCAGACACACCAGCGGGATGGGAGGTGCCCAAAGGGTAGAGCCAGCCTCGTCCTTCCCAACTGACAAGCACAATAGAAGTACTTGAAAGCAGCAGTATGAAAATACAGTGAGAGTATGAGAGCTGCGCTTCGTACTTAAAGTTGAGATGACTTGAGGGTATAGTCAGGAGAAAATTAGTGTTGGCTCCAGTGTTTTGAGGCACTTCATGGAGCCAGAAGCTGGGTTTTAAGCAACAGCAAACATTCAGGAAACCACAGGGGCTGAGAGAAGGGCTGCAGAACACACTCAGGATGTGGGCAGGCCTCCCACTACTCATCCTGGAAAGGGGAGCTGAGCAGGGAGCGGCCCTGGGGAAGAAGCTGCCTTACTGGACTCGGTGTTTTATAGGACGTCATGACAGGAAGATCTCTGGAGTTGTAGGCAGTCCAAGGGCAAAACTGATGGGAGGGGGATGTGGAATGTCCTGAGGTGTTGAAATCGGCAAGCGCTCGGGTGGGACATGCGCCACACGTCTGTCTGCTTCTGGCTGAGAGCAGTGCTAGGAAAAGTTGCCTTTCTTCTCGTGACAGCCTTGGAGATCCATTAGCAGTTTTTTCTCATCATTTGAATTACTTTCCTGTATTAATTTTTGTTAATAGGTCTGTAAGTTTTTCAAGTTTGAACACTTTAAGAGAATGAGTACGTATTCAGGGGGCATCAGAGAATTCAGTCACCATTGGTGTCTTTTCCTGTTGAGCCATTTGGCAGCTACATTATTGGCAGTGAACTTGCTGTAGGTTGGGGAATTGCCCACTTGCAGGACGTAGCAAATGGTGACGGGAGTTCAGATCTGCCCTTCCCGGTTGTCGGGAGTACATTTCTGATCGAATCCCGCCCTTTGGCCTTGTGAAAATGGACACGCCGTCTCTGTGTCTTGTCCCCGAAAAGATTTCAGGGTACACGCTCACAGTCCAGGCGTCCGATAACGGCAGTCCCCCCAGGGTCAACACGACCACCGTGAACATCGACGTGTCCGACGTCAACGACAACGCGCCGGTCTTCGCCCAGGGGAACTACAGCGTGATTATCCAGGTACCTCAGGCGCTGGGGGCTCATTGCGCACGGCCCTTTGGAGATGAGCTCTTCACTGGCCTCAGTTAATCCTCTGAAATATCTATCTTTCCCAAAGTCTACGCCTCAGAAACAGGAGATGGGTCAAAGGAGAGGGTCTTCTTCGCGACTGACAGATGAGCGTTTTCATGACAAAGCCAGGCTTTTCTCTCCTTTTTATGCTTTGGTGTTCAAGATCTTCTCACTAGCCTGATTCTTTTTTTTTAATTTAAATTCTTTATTATTTAGAGTATTACATATGTCTACTTTCCCCTTCCATTGACACCTCCCTGACCGCTGCCACCCCCCTCCCCCCAGCACATGCCCTCACCCCCTACTGTCAGTGTCCATGGATTATGCTCATATGCATGCATACAAGTCCTTTGGTTGATCTCTTACACTCCCCCCGCCTTCCCTCCAGCTTCCCTCTGAGATTTGAAAGTCTGTTCAATGCTTCTAC